ATGGGTATGGGAGACACAGGATACAAAGACCGCTTCACGATGAGGGTGATGGATACATGGGGGGCACAGGACACATCGACTGCTTCACTGTGAGGATGGATACAGGGGGGGGGGGGGCATAGGACACATCGACCGCTTCACAATGAGGGTGATGGATACATGGGTCTATGTGTCGCTATTGTTATTATTAACATTATTATTTATATTGTAATTGTTATTATCATTATAATTGTCATTGTTATTTTGATCTTCATTATTATCATTATGATCATTATCATTATTATCATTATCATTTTTATTATAGTTATTATTATTATTGTTGTTATTATCACTATTATCATTATCTCTGTTATTATTATCATTATTAGCATTATCATTACTATTATTGTTATCATTGTTAATATTATTGATATTATTATCATCATTACTATTATTATTATTATTATTAATATTGATAACAATTATAATTATTATCATTCTCATTACAATCATTTTTATCATTATTTCCGTTATCATTATTATTATTATTATTATTATTATTATTATTATTATTATTATTATTATTATTGTTATTGTTATTGTTGCTGTTATTGTTATTGTTATTATTATCGTTATTTTTATGACTATTATCATTATTATTATCAGTATCCGCATTATCATAACTGTTATTATTATCGTCATTGTTATTACTTTTATCATTATCATTATCAGCATTGTCAAAACTATCATTATTGTCATTATCATTATCATCATTTTTATTATAACTGTTATCATTTTTATTTTAGTTATTATTATCATCATCATTTTTGTTATTATTATTATTGTTATTATCATTATTACCATTATTACTAATACTATTATATTTATTACCATTATTATTATCATTATCATTATCAATTTCATTATCATTATCAATATAATTATCATTATAATTATTATTGTTTTATATCAGCGATCGCGGGTTCGAATTCACAAAAGGGAGCGAAATATTATTATTATTATCACTCCTCATTACCCACATGACCACGGTGGCTAAGTGGGTAACAGCGCCAAGTTCGAATCAGCGATCGCGGGTTCGAATTCACAAAAGGGAGCGAAAAATGAAGGATTATCATTAATATTACCATTTTTATTGTCTTTAATTTCAATCATCATCATTAGCAGCATCACCATAGTATTATTGTTGTTACTATTATCACTGTTATCATTATCATTATTATAATTATTATCTTTATTATTATAATTATCATTATTATTTTTTCACTATTATCATTGAAAGTGTTATTATCATTATCATTATTCTCATAGTCATAACCATTACTATTATCATTTTAATTATTATCATAATCATTATTACTGTTGTCATCCTTTATCGTCATCAAAATTAGTATCATTATCATCACCATATCATCATTATCCTCATCGTTATTATTATTACTATTATTGTCATAATCATTTTCATTTCACTCATCATCATTATCAATATTCATATCCTTTTCATCATTACTTCTATTTTAATCATCATTCTCATCAATATCATCATTACCATTATTATCTTTTTATCCCTATCATTACTTGAGTAGTTTACAAACCAGTAAATGTGGGTTTCCTATACATCAGCCTGTTTAGAATTATTGCATTTTTTTATGGTAGATTTTGATACGTTGATAATTGCCTTGTTTTACCATTACTTTGTTTTGCTCGTTTAACTGTATTTTTTTAATTTTAAATAACCCTTCTTAAATAGCTTGTTTTTATTTTTATTTTTTTTTTTCTTTTAGATTATTAGGACCCAGTTTTACTTTGTTTTTATTCTTACTATTCCCCTTATGTTTTGGTTCTTTTATCTCATTAGCACTGATGATGAAGTTAGTAACCGAAACGTCTGAAGAAATCAAAATGTTCGTAGCTGCATCGGTGTTACTTTTCCTGTTGTTACCTTTCCCGAAAGGAAAAGCACTTGATGAATTTATATATATACATATATATATATATATATATATATATGTATGTGTTGTGTGTGTGTGTGTGTGTGTGTGTGTGTGTGTGTGTGTGTGTGTGTGTGTGTGTGTGTGTGCATATATATATATATATATATATATATATATATATATATATATATATATATATATGCGTATATATATATATAATATATATATATATATATATATATATATATATATATATTATATATATATGCATATACACATACGCTCGCGCGCATGTATGTTTGTATACACACACACACACACACACATGCGTGTGTGTGTGTGTCTATATAGTTATAAAATATCCTACAACAGCAGCAGTAACGGCCAGGGACACACAGTCCGTTCAAACGTGCCCAGAATACCAAACTAAGTTTCTTCTACAATGCTCCCACGGCATTGAAGCTCATCTTTCACCCGTACCTCTTACAAACGACATATACGCTCATGGTATATAACGTAGTAACACTAGTAGACACAGATGATTAAACAAATCCAAATCTATTAAGAAA